TTTTGGACTTCCTTTTCCATTTGGCCAGTTCTACTCTTTAAGGCATTCTTCTCATTGGCTTTTTGGACCTCTTTTGTCATTTGGGTTAGTCTAGTTTTAAGGTGTTATTTTCTTCAGTATTTTTTTGAGTCTCCTTTAGCAAGCTGTTGACTTGTTTTTCATGATTTTCTTGCATCACTCTCATTTCTCTTCCCAGTTTTTCCTCTACTTCTCTTACTTGCTTCTCAAAATCCTTTTTGAGCTCTTCCATGGCCTGGAACTGGTCATATTTTTCTTGGAGGCTTTGGGTGTGTAGGAACTTTGACATTGTTTTCTTCTTCTGGTTGTCTGTTTTGATCTTTGTCACCAAAGTAAGATTCTATGGTCTGACTTTTTTTGCACTCTTTGCTCATGTTCCCAGCCAATTTCTTGAATTTTAAACTCTTTGTTAAGGTAGGGGGTCTGCTTCCAGTGTGGAGAATGCACTGTCCCAAGCTTCAGGGGTTTTGTGCAGCTATTTTCAAAATACTTCTAGGGACCTATAAATTTTCCATTCTTCCAAGGTGGTAAGATCAAGGGCAAGGTGTTCACTCCTTTCCTGGCGTGTGCTCTGGTCTATGAGTGATCACAAGCACTCTTTTCTGCCTTCAAACTGTGAGGAAGATTCCCTCTGTACCACCACTACAAGCTCCACCAAGCCAACGCTTCTCCTTGCCCCAGGATCACCACCCAGAACCGTGACCCAGATCTAAGCATGGGCAAAGCAAGAGAATCTTGCCTCAGCACCAACAAAGAGATCCCTGCAATCCCCCTCTAATAAGCCACTTGATTCCCTCTCTATTTGTGGGTTGAGAGCTCTGGAAGCAGCCACCACCATGGGGCTGTGCCAGGACTAGGGCTGGGACCAACCTCCTCTCTCATCGTGGTCCAACAGACCTTTCCCACTGACCTTCTAAGTTGTCTTTGGCATTTGTGAGTTAAGAAGTCTGGAAACCACCACAGCTGCCCTTGATTCAGTCCCCTGAGGACTGCTCCTGATTTGCTGAGGGCTGATCTTTGCCTGTGTGGCCCACGCTGCACTGTGCTCCTCTGTCAGCCTGGCACAACAGACCTTTCCAATCAACTTCAGGTTGTCTTGGGCTGGAAATTTGTTTCACTCTGTCTTTTTGTGGGTTCTGCTTCTCTAGAATTTGTTTAGAGCTGTTTTTTGCAGGTATTTAGAGGAGTTTGGGGGAGAGCTCAAGCAAGTCACTGCTTTCACTCCACCATCTTGGCTCCACCCCCCACATGACCAAAACAGAACTAATCATTGCCTCTCCTAAACCCTTTCTTCTTTCTAACTTCCTAACTTACTATGGTAAAAGCTACCATTTCTCCCAGTCACTCAGGTTCTTAACCTAGGTATTACCCTCAGTTCCTCACTTTCTTTCCCTTCCCATATTCAACCAGTTGTCAAGTCCTATCTTTTCCACCTTTGTAACATCTTGTGTATACATGCCCTTCTTTCCTCTGACACTGCCACCAGCAGGGTTCAGGCCCTCATCACTTTACTCCTGAACTACTGCAAAAATCTGGCAGTTGGTCTCCTTGCCTCATGCATCTCTCCACTCCAGTCCATCCTCCACTCAGCTGCCAAATGGATTATCCTTAAAGACAGGTCTAAAACTCCAGTGACTCCCTATTACCTGTACGATTAGATAGAAAATCTTCTGTTTAACTTTTGAAGGCCTCCATAACCAGGCCCCTTCCTACCTTTCCTGTCTTCCTGTACCTTATTCCCCTCCAGATACTCTATGATCCAGTGACACTGGCCTCTTTGCTGTTCCTTGCACACAGGAGTCCATTTCCGAATTTCATGCATTTTCACTGGTTGTCCCCCATACCTGCAAGTCTCTCCCTCCTCTTCACCAGCTCCTGACTTCCCTCTCTTCCTTCAAATCTCAGGTAATGTCCTATTTTCTTCAAAAAGCTTTCCTCATTGCTCCTTAATCTTACACCTTTCTCTCAAAGGTTATCTCAAACCTATCTTATTTACATATGGTTCGTACATTGGTGTTTCCATGTTTTTCCCCCATTAGCCTGTGAGCTCCTTGAGAGCAGGGACTGATTTTGACCATTCTGTGTACTCCCAAGTGCTTAGCCCAGTGCCTGGCACATAGTAGGAACTTAATAAATAATGCTTGTTGACTGGTGGACAATATAAATAAGCCAAAGCAGTTACTTCTCAACATGAGGATGTGCCAAAAGGTTTGCCTGAAGAGCCATCCCACTTGTTATTGTCAGGGCTGAGTAGCTCTATTCTGAGTACCTCAGATACCTTCCCACTCTCTACCAACCACTCCCTCTTGCCTTTTACTGATGCTACTGATGGGGGAAAGGAGCATTCAGTCCATAGTGAGCTTTTGCAATTGAGCACAAAGAGGTTACATCCTGTCCACACCTGCCCTGTGCTCAGCAGACTACACACATCCAGAAGCCATGTGTGGATCCGAGTCACTTTAGCACAAGGGTTTTTATGTTTTTTGTGTGTCATGGACGCCTTTGGCAGTTTGGTGAAGCCAATAGCCCTCTTCTCAGCATAATGTTAAATGTATAAAATAAATATATAGAACTAGAAAGAAAACCAATTATATTGAAATAGTAATAAAAAAAAAATTTTGGAAGCAATTAGGGTTAAGTGACTTGCTTAGGGTCACATAGCTAATAAGTATCTGAGGCCAGATTAGAGCTCAGGTCCTCCTGAATCCAGACCCAGTGCTCTATCTATTGAGCCACCCAGCTGCCCTATGCAAAAAATGCTTTTAAAACAAATTCATGAACTCCAGGTTAAAAATCCTCGTTCTAGCAGTGCAGGTTGCCTCAAACACACCTATACAGATGTCCAGACAATGGGGGGGGGGGCCTCTTCCTCTGTCTCCTGCGTATCTGCCTCTCTCTCATTGGTTATGTGCAAAATGACAGTCCCACAATGAGGGCACAAAGGTATTTGTAGCCAACAGTGTTCATGTTCTCTGCAGGAATGAATCCTAAGCCTTGCTCTGTTGTGCAAAAACAAAACAAAAAGCTTCCCAAATTGTTGTTTAACCTAAGGTTGCCCCAAGGCTTCAAGGAGGCATGATTTCCTTGGTTAACTCACAGCTTTTCCACACCTTAATAGATCATCTTTGTGAGTGAACGTGGCTGAAAAGATTTCTCACCTGTTGACTAACCCTGGGATGATAATCCCTACTCTCTACTTAGCTAGGCTCTGCCTCAGATGAAAGATAATGTTATCAGCCTGTCCTGGGACCTGCCAGTGGTTTTGCTCCATTGGCTCAGCCTTCTTGAATCCAGGCTGCCCTCCCTGCCAAAATGAAGCATCAGAGGAGAGCTTCAGTGGAAAGACAGAATTTTATTTCCAACCAACCATTTTGCTAAAGCAATCAAATCCGCTATTACATGACCTCTTCACCTGAATTGTCAGGCTAAATTTCCCTTTCTGGACTCACTTTTTTTTTATACATGTAGACTCCTCTTTCTTATTGAGTTGAAAATGAAATTAAAAAGAATTGGTCTTATTGGTTTGAAAACTTCCTATGGGATAACCCCAAGCTCATCAGTATAGGTTGGGAGATTCTCCGAAGTAGTCCTCTAAGAGAAACACCCCAATAGCCAAGGAGATCTCCCTGCCCTGGAAGGAAGTCCTATCCATACCTAAAGTGACCATATTAAACAGGTTTTATTTTTAGTGCACGTAGTAGGAAAACTATATATAGCCTCTCAACCCCTTAAATCTTTTTGTTTCCCCAGTTCAATCCTCACATGGTATGCATAGGCTCTTTCTGCAAAACTGTGATTGCCGTCACAAACAATGACATCAATGGAATATGTGCCCTATAAGTTCCTCCCCTAGAGAGAAAAGCCCTTAGGGCACCATTCTCAGTGGAAATAAATAACACAAGGATGAAGTCAACCACCCTGGTTTCCAATGCAGAGGCCACCTGATATAGGTCTTGCCTGGCTTGGGCTAATTTGGTGCTTCAGGTCAAGGATTAGGATGAAATAAGGTCCTTATTAGGACAGCAGTAAACAAAAGGAGACTTACTAAACCATAGTGTGGAATGGATATTCAGCAAGTATACAACACTGGTTTAGGTAAATGTATCTCTCCTCTTCATCTTGTCTCCATATAGAAAGTGTGTGGTCAGCAAAGTATGTTTGGTGCGATGACTTACATGGCAGTGGGAAAGCTGCTGAATCTGAAGGCCACTTAACTCCTTGTGTGCTGAACTTTTATTCTCCAAGCAACTGGAAAGTCACATCAGTGTGTGCAACCTTAGCCTCCTGAACCAACCAAGTTTCAAGGATGTGAGAAATGAAAAGAGTTAAGTTTCCGCATAAGTAGCTAAGAAATCAGCACAGACAGGCTAACTTCTCTGTCGGGGGTGGGGGTGGGGGAGTGATAACACAATTCTAGGCACATAATGTATGTTGGGGTGGGGCATATAAGGAAGATTGTAACCCAGGAGGATTAGGACCAATCCTGATCCAAAAGGGAGGAGTTAGGCAATTACAAACTATAAAGCGTGCCCTGGCTTCTTTTACCACCACATTTTCTCTCCTTCCAAGAAGGTGCTTCTGCTTCTCACAAGAATCGAAATGACGTACTTCAACCTCTTTAATAAGAAGTGTTTGAAGGGGCAGCTAGGTGGTGCAGTGGATAGAACACCGGCCCTGGATTCAGGAGGACCTGAGTTCAAATCTGACCTCAGACATATGACACTTACTGGCTGTGTGATCCTGGGCAAGTCATTTAACCCCATTGCCTAACCTAAATAAATAAATAAATAAAAAGTCTTTGAGACACCAGTCTTCAGAACTGAGTCTGAGGTCATCTTTATAACAAAGGATAGCTTTCTTACCTTTTAAGGAAAAAAAAAAACTAACCTAGCCTACATGGCAGGTGTTGCTCCTACTATAGATGTAGGGCTGAGTAGAAGGGAACAGTTTTTACTCATGGCCCCACTGGAGAGATTACTTACCCAAGCTCCATCGGGTCCAAAGAGTTCTAGAAAGTTGCCAATAAACTCACGAGACTTCTCTTCCCACTTCTGAATTAAATCATGGCTCTTTTCTTCCACCTTATAAACAAACTCCTTTGATTTTTCCTCCACATTCTTGACTTTCTCCTTCATTTTGTCTACTTGGTTCTGGAAACGGTACTTCTTCTCCTGGTGAATAGAGATTAATCCAGTATCTAAGCAATTTTGGGTGTGGTGGGACTTCATAGAGACAAGTTGCAGTACCAACTTTTACTGGTTTATGCAAGGTGGACAAGTCACTTAACTTCACTAAGCCTCAGGTTCCCCATTTGTAAAATAGACACAATAATACTGGTGCTACCTGATTCACCGGGTTGTCATGAGGAATTTGTTTTGAAAGCCGTAGGGCACTAGAAAAATGTGAGTTATTACTACCACTGTTACACTTCAAGGATCATGATTATTTCATGAGTGTGGGTCCTTCCTCTCCTGATTTCCTCTGTAAAACGAGTTCTTAACCTGAAGTCCATTAACTTTTTTTTTTAAATCTTGATAACTGTGTCTCAACATAATTGGTTTCTTTCAAAATTCTAGGTATTTTATGCCTTTAAAAGCATTATTCTCAGAAGGGGTCCGCCCATAGATTTCCCCTGACTGCTGGAGGAATCTATAACAAAAAAAGGTTAAGAATTATCTTTATAATTTAGAAGGTAATCTTTAAGTGTTGCTATGGCCAAAAAAAAAAAATGCCTCCTTTGTTGGACAGTCTCCTGGTGCTAGCATGGCCAGTCTTGAGATGACAGAAAGCAAACATCACCAGGCCCATACTTGGGGCCTTTCTAGCTTGGTAGGAACTTGTTTTTTGCTGGGATAGCTTTAAGGAATCCAGAGATACTTCCATGCTATGATAAGTGTTAGAGTAGGTCTTTAGGGGAAGGATAAATAATGCATGTATACAGTATATGGACATTGTATCTTACAATATCCTCATGTGTTCCTGGCCTGAAAAAGATTCACTCATGTCAAATTGACCTTCCCAAAATGCAGGTTTGATCATCTCTCTCTCTCTCTCTCTCTCTCTCTCTCTCTCTCTCTCTCTCTCTCTCTCTCTCTCTCACACACACACACACACACACACACACACAGAGACCCATACAGATGCCCCCCCCACACACCTCATTTAATAAACTCTAGTGGCTTCCTAGTACCTCCAAGATCAAATATAAAACCCTGTTTAGCTTTTAAAGCCCTCCCTACCTTTCCTGTCTTATACCTTTTTCCTTTCCTCATATGCTGTGATCCAGTAAAATTGGCCTCCTAAATGTTCCTTGCATAAAACAGTCCATTTCTCTACTCCAAGCATTCTCACTACCTGCATCCCATTGCCTGCAAAATCTCTCCCTCCTTTTCCTCACCTCCTAGCTTCCCTGGCTTCCTTTAAGTCTCCGCTAAAGTCCCACCTTCCTTATTTTTAGTGCCTTCCCTCTGAGATTGTCTCCAGTTTATCTTGCATGTCACTTGCTGTGCATAGCTCTTTGTGTGTTGTCTTCCCCACAGACTTTGATCTCCTTGAAAGCAGAGACTGTTTTTTTTTCTTGTTGGTTTGTTTTTGTATTACTTTGTATCCCCAGTCCTTAGCACAGTACCTGGCACATAGTAGGGACTTAATTAATGCTTATTGACTTGACTCAGTTTGACTGTGGGTTGATTTTCTATGACCCTGGTAAAATAGTGTGAGTGGGAAAAACACTGAAGATTACCAGTCTATTGAAATATGTGAGAAGAAGAAAGAACTTATTTCTATTTTCTTTTTGTAAGTATTATTACGTAAGGGAGAACTCCAAAGCATTGGCTTACTCTTTATCATGAACAGAGACATATTGAGGAAATTGGCCACCCAAGCTCCTTAATGCCCAGATTATGTATACTTTGTTGTTGGTTGTATTCATTTAGTTATGTATTTGTTTTAGTGTGGAATTATGATTTCATCGTACAGCTCAGCAAATTGTCTATAACTTTATGAGTTTTAGAAGTTTGTCTGAGATACTATGAAGCTGACTTGCTTAGAGGTTATGCAGTAAGTATGTGTCAGAGACAAGACTTGAACCCAGATCTCTCTCCTTCTAAGGCTGGCCCTTTATGTGTAGTTATCCCTTCCACATCATGGGAGTTAGGGGCACAGCGCCCCTGTGATCTGGAAAATCTGTGTAAAATTTTTTGGCCCTCCCTTTGTACCAGAGAAAAGAAATTGTGTATATTTATGGTATTAAAAGGTAGAATATGTTGATATTACACAATACTATGCACATATTTTATATATTTCTGAATTTCTAAACTTTTTCTGCCTTGTCTGGTGGCCTTCATGTGTCATCTGCAGCTTCCATGAAACTCCCCAAAAATTCCCATTTAATTTCTTATGTTCATGAGGGATATATTGAAGGGATGTATTGAAACCTTGATGGGGAAAGTCACCATGTAGAAGTACTAAACCATGCTGTTTCTATTGAAAGCATATCAGCTTCTATTTCAATGCTCTTAGAGAGATTACGTGAATTATTTTGTTATGCTGGACACATATATTGTGGTATTCAGAGAAATCATGACATAATTTAAAGATTATCAGAGAAGAGGTTCTCAAACTTTTTGGATTCAGGAATCATTTTCAGTCTTAAGAATTATTGAGAATGCCAAAGAGCTTTTGTTTAGGTGGATTATATCTATCACTTATTAACCCTATTAGAAATTAAAACTAATAAATCTTTTTAAAATGTATTAATTCATTTAAAAATCACAATAATAAATCTATTACATGTTAACATAAGTAACATACTTAAATAGTTATATTTCCCAAAATAAAGTTGGATAAGAAGAGGGTATTGTTTTATGTATTTTTGCAAATCTCTTTAATGTTTGGATTAAAAGAAGACAACCAGATTCTCATATCTGCTTTTTCATTTAATCTATTGCAATATTGTTTTAACTGAAGGATATGAAGAAAATCTGCCCTCATACAGATATGTAACTGGAAAAGGGAGGAGCATTTTAATAGACAAATAATGTCTTAGTATCATTATGAAAATAATTTCGACCTCCAGGACTGCCTAAAAGGCCTCAGGGATCCCTAGAGGTCTCTGCATCTAACTTGGAGAACCACTAGAGGCAATGTAGCTGGGTTCAAATCCTGCTTTAGATATTTACTAGCTTTGTAGACATGAGCAAGTTACTTCATTTCTCTGAACCTCAGTTTCCTCATCTATAAAATGAGGATAATATAAATGTGAATGATTATGTCAAACACTACTTGGAATATCTGGAACATTGGTAAGATACTAGAGCTTGGAACTCTTTGGCCATTCTGAGATTCTCCTTTCAACAAGTCATTCAAAATGCTTTTTTATAAAGTCATTCCCTAGGATTAGGGGATTCTAGATTTAGACCTGGAAAGGACCTTATTCCCTATTTAGCTGAGCAAGAAAATGTCGTTTGGATTATAAAACTTTATGAAAGAAATGCCTCACATCTTTGTCCTGTGTGGAAAATTTTTTCTCTTCGTCTCCATCCTTCTAGTCTTCCAATTTTGTAGCCTTGGAATTAGAATCCATTCCTCACTCTCCTTATATCTCGACTCCACTACTTCATCAGTTTTTGAATCTTGCATTTCTGCCATCACAACTTCTCTCCCATCTGACCCCTTCTCTCTGGTCAAACAGCCACCATCTTAGTGCAGGACCTTACTTCTCCATATCTAAATTATTGCAGTAGCCCCCTAATTGCTGACCCTTCCTCTAGTTGATCATCACCCAAGTCTATCCTACACACTGCTGCCAAAGTGATTTCCCTTAAGCAACTATCTGACCGTCTCATCCCCTACTCAGTCAACTCTAGTAGTTCCCTATTGCCTCTGGGATGAAATATAAAATCCTCTGCTTAATTTCTGAAACCATGTACAACCTATCTTTCCAGCACATCCATTGTTGTTGTTCGTCATTTTTAAGTCATGTCCTACTCTTCATGACTCCATTTTGGGGTTTTCTTGGCAGAGATACTGGAGTAGTTTGCCATTTCCTTCTCCAGCTCATTTTACAGATGAAGAAACTGAGGCAAACAGGGTTAAGTGACTTGCCCAGGATCACACAGTTAGTAAGTGTCTGAGGCTGGCTTTGAATTCAGAAAGACAGTCATTCTGACTCCAGGCCCAGCACTCTATCTATTGTGCCACCAAACTTCCTTTCCAGTACCTTCGGGGGACATTAATTGCTTTTTTACCCTCTGGGAACCAGCTAAGATCCAGCTCTCTTTTCCTCACTTTACCTCTTTTCTCCATGGCTTTTTCACTAGCTTGGAAGGCTGACACTTCCATATTCCTGGAAGGCAATCCCCTTAACCTCTACCTCACAGAGTGTCCCTTTTCCTTTAAGATGCAGCTCAAACCACCATGTTCTGCGTGAAGGTTTTGCTGATCATCTCAACTGCTGGTGGCTCCTTCCCTATCTACCTTGTGTTTAACTGCTTGGTTTTATTCTCTTCATAATTATGTCATTTGTGCTTATATATTTACCTATTCTCTCCCCCTTTAGAGTGTAAGCACCTTATGAGTATCATTTCATTCTTTGTTCTTGTGTCTAAGCACCGAGCTTAGATGTTTAATAAGTGTTCCTTGTTGTGAATTCTGCTCTCCTGACCCCCTCAACTTTTTTGTGTCATTTGACTATCTGATGAAGACTGTGAATTCCTTCTTAAATAATGTTTTTTTTTAAAATTCATAATTGAAGAAAATGATTAATTTCCATTGGAGGTTAGTGAAAATAAAGATGTGATTTTTTTTCCCCATCCAAGCTCACAGATCCCTGAAACCTACTTTATAGGCTCCTTGGTCATCTGTGGACCCCAAGTTATGAACCCCCCTGGTTGGCAGATAATCTTTGTGAGTAGCTGTGGCCAAAAAATTCACCTGTTATAGTGGCCAGCCTTTTGGTGATGTACTTTTCTGAGCTTAATGATTGCTTGAATCTAACTCCCTAATTTTACAGTTGAGGAAACTGAGGCAAAAGAGCTTAAATTACTTCCCCAGGTACACAGCTAGCAAATGTCTAAGGTAAGATTTGAACCCACTCTATCCACTCTATCACCGGAAGTACGCTGGGATATAACAGAAACAGAATGAAGTATCTCATATCCAGGGAACACTTGAGTGTTGCCTGAGACAGAGATATCTGGCTTATCCTGGTTCATTTTGTATTGTACAGATCCAGAAACAGTAAGCTTGGGCTATATTTCTATCTGGCCTCTTTCCTGTGGCTTATTATCACTGAAGACAACAAGCTTTGGAAGCAAGTCTGTCTCTATGCACACCTATGGTTTTAATTTAATTCTTTTTTTTTCAAATAAAAATTTGGGTTTAATCACATACCTGGGGAAGCCTGATGCTTAAAAAAAGTTTCAGTCAATCTCTTGACTGAAACATACACACCCCCTTTTCATTGGCCTGATCAGAGAACCAGTACCGTAAGGAGGCCTTAATCTCCAGGGCAGTCAGCTTTCTATCCCAGATTGCCCTGAGAGCACAGTCATTGATTCTGAAAGTAAGCAGTAATCAATACCAATCCCATTAACTTATGTTTTGGAGGTACCAGTGATAAATTATGAATGCTATGAGATAAATATAACCGCAAATAATTGTAGTTTTCTAGACAACTTGTCACCCTAAAAAATTTGGCCTCTAGATTTTTTTGTAAAGATTGAAGCTGGGTATGGATTTCTTGTTCCAATGTTCCTCCAAGCCCAGGCAAATATAGCTATTTAGACCTTCCAGCACCTCTGGTAGGATTCTAGGCTACCATCTTTTGCTTTTTAACACCTTGTTTTACTCAGTGTACAGATTGTTGGAACAACTACTGTTTTATTAAGCTAACAAACAGAAGCAGTTCTATGGGAACAACACAGTAGAAACATAGGGCTTTAGATACTATTGAACTAATTGTTTAAATAAACTATGGAAAAGGCATCTGAGGTGTCTATTGAACAATTCACTGACCTTGAAAAATAAAATCAAGGAAGAGTATTCTGACTTCATTAAGGTCAAAAATATCTGCCATTAAAGAAAAAATTGCACCAATGGGCTATCTAAAAGAAACCCTTTGCCTTAATCAGTCAATAGAGGAGCTAGAAATAGAGGAGAGGCAGGAAGTGGGAAATGTCTCTCCTAGGAAGTGATATTTGTCATCAAAGCTTATTCAAAGAGGGAAGAGGTAAATGTACTTACATTTATAAAACTAACATTCAGCTCTTTAGCCGTGTACCCTCTTTGGAGGTTACGTCGGGCATAAACGTCGTAGTCACGAACAATTCTGGTGATGATGTCTGATGTTGAGATGCCTTCTGTTCTCTGAGTTGGGACAAACATTCCTGGTCAAAGTAGAAAAGAAGAAAAAAATTAGATTCACCTCAGTTTTTACCATTTCGTTCCATTTGTTTGTTGGCTTTGTTATTGAGTCCCCAGAGAGACGCAGCATCACATTTCACCAAATGGGAAGAAGGAATCTAGTGCTATTCACTTGGAGTCTGAAATCAGGAGACAAAACAGTGGGTGGCTAGATTACTTCTCCTCCATATAAAGAGTTGATTTTGCACTGCAGTTATGCTACCCATGGGTGCCTTTAGATTTGATTGCCCATGAGACTAAGTACAGCCAGAAAAACACAGGAAGTAATAGCAAGTTCTAACAGACATTCCAAAGAGTTACCAAAAATTATACTCTATGTTTGTGTATATACAAAGCCTTTAGCAGGGGAAACACACAAACTCATTAATAAGGCATTGATGATTTAGGTGCGGTGATGTGTGCCTGTAATCTTTGCTATTGGAGAGGCTGAGGATGATGGATCTCTTGAGCTCAAAGATTTGAGTGTCAGTGGGCTAAGCCGATCAACATCAATATAGTGAGCCCCCAGCGGTAGAGGGCCACCAGGAAGGAGGGGGAACTGGCCCATGCTGGAAACAAAACAGGTCAAAGCTTCTGTGTACCAATTAGTAGTGGGATTGGACTTGTGAGAGGATGCATGGCCCAGAGAATCACCTATAATAGAAAGCTAATGGTCAATAACTATAGACAATCAATACCTGCCTCCCCCATCACGAACAGACATGTAAAATATAAGTGGGGGACAAAATACCCAATCATGGGGCAGCTAGGTGGCACAGTGGATAGAGCACCTGCCCCGAAGTCAGGAAGACCTGAGTTCAAATCCGGCCTCAAACCAAGCACTTGACACTTACTAGCTGTGTGACCCTGAGCAAGTCACTTAACCCTAAATGCCTAAAAAAAAAAATACCCAATCATGGGGCAGCTAGGCGGCACAATGGTTAGAGCACCTGCCCCGAAGTCAGGAGGACCTGAGTTCAAATCCAGCCTCAGACCAAACACTTGACACTTACTAGCTGTGTGATCCTGGGCAAGTCACTTAACCCTATTGCCTAACCAAAAAAAATACCCAATCAAATACCAGAAACCCATTGAAGTAAGCATCACTTAACTTGATGTTGCTATGGAGGGGGGAATATGGCAGGGATGGTAGCCAATGAAAGAAGCAGGAGGTCAAAGATGCCAGGATCAGAAGTCCCACATCTTATGTTATATGAGAGTATTGTAGCAATACACTGATATGAGCAACTTCTGCCAGTGATCCATGAGCTAACCTGCTCCTAATGCCCCACCTTTTTTGGCGCAGCAGGAAGGAGAACCCCTCTTTTGCCACAAACTAAATGTAGCCAGCGGGAGATCTCATCAAGTCCCTTATATCCTAAAGAAATGAGCTTCCCTGTCTATGAAGTCAGGAGGTCAGGGTCTAGATAACAGAAAAACGAAGTCATCGTCTGTGTCTGCTGCTGCAGATTTGGGGCAGGAGGAAAGATTTGCTTTGGCAGGACCATGAAAGAAGAAGAGAATACTCTGGTGATATAACGAGGCACCCGTTTGTTTTTTTTTCAAAATCGTAATTATTGCTCTGCTAAAAATATTCTGTAATGAGCACGATCCCAGAACCTTTCTTATCATGCTTTTCAGGATTGCGGCATTTGGCTAGGTAGTTATTTTAGGAAGCAGCAGAGCGCATGTTAATGAAGGGAAACTTTCAATGGAAGTAGGGTATAATAGAATGATGATGAGTAATCTGGACCTTACAGTCTATTTAATTTAAGCTACCTCTTTTTAGCAAACTTTGCAATGAGATTCTGACATGTCACTGACAAGCAGAGCCAAGTACTCTAAGGTTTAATCCACATTTAGGTGTCTTTTGCTCCATTTGGAGTGATTTTAGGCTCTTAAATTAAGCCATTATGAGTGTGCAAAAGCCAAGTGTGGCTGCCTGCGATGCTTCTGACTTTTCCCTCACAAATTGTCTCTTATGCTTTCCAATAGCTTCTCCTTTCATTGATCTCAACAGAGACTCTTCATTCAGGTAAACAATTGTGTGGTAGTCATCAGCAGGGCTGAGCAGAAAATCTCTGTAGCTAGTTTTTATATAATAGAAAAACCAATTACTTACATGTGATCCTATTATCCATATTATTATATTATATGTACTTTTGTTATATGTAGATATTACCCATATATGCGTTTATCCATATCATCCTATGTTCCTGGGATAAGTAATGTATTTTTTGACTCTTTAAAATGGAAATGGCAGAGAGGCAGCTAGGTGGGGCAGTGCTTAGAGTGCTGGACTTGGAGTCGAAAGACCTAAGTTCAAATCCCACCTGAGACATTGACTAGTTGTGTGACCTTGGACAAGTCACTTAACTTCTGTCTGCCTCAGTTTCCTCAACTATAAAATAGGGATTAACGTTTCCCTCTCAGGGTTGTTGTGAGGATCAAATGAGATATTTGTAAAGCACTTAAAGAGGAGGCCCAGTCCAAGCCAACTGGAAATTAACTATATTTCCCCCAAAGGTAGAAAATAATATTTTTGCCATGTGATAGCAATGCGACCATAAAGGCAATTGGTTTGATGGAAGTATTGATTAATAGATAATTCTGATTTTTAATAAATTGTAGGGCTTATCATGTTGTGGGGAGAGAGTAATATATGTGTGAGACAGATAGCCTTTGTGTAATGGCACAGAAACTATAAGATCCCATTAGGATTATTTAATAACTACAAGAAAGACATTTGATTTGGTAGAGCAAAACCTTAAAGGCTCTTCTCCCAAAAAGTATCTCCCATGCATATAACAAAATCATAAAAGATTCTCCAAAAGATATAAAAGTGGAAATATCATTTTTTGGTCTTTTTTGATGAGGCAATCGGGGTTAAGTGACTTGCTCAGGGTCACGCAGCTAGTAAGTGTCATGTGTCTGAGGCCAGATTTGAACTCAGGTCCTCCTGACTCCAAGACTGGAGCACTATCCACTGTACCACCTAGCTGCCCCTAATACCATTGTTCAATAACTATCCAATTATTATTATTATTATCATCAAGCAAGGCATAAAACAGCAAAAGGTAAGCTTTCCAAAGGTGCTTGCCACTGCCATGGAGGGTGTCCAATACTGGGTTCAAATGGAAAAGAGGTTTATTATAAATATTGAGGTCTTCCAGTCACTTCTGTACATGGATAGTGTTGTGTTGATTGGATCAATTCCTGGAACACTGGAGAGCCTCCTAAATGAGATTCATGGTCTTTGCAGTCTCTTTAGCCAGAAAAAAGACAAATGGATCAAAAATGTCTATTGTTCACATTGTGACAAGGTGTTGAATAGACAGCCAATCAAGCCATTCTCTAGAATACATACAGATGTTCCAAAAGTCTTAGAGCAGTTTTAAACAATTAAAGCTTATCACTGAAGATTAAAACTGCACTAAGACTTTTGGAGCACCTTGTGCATCTAGGAAAGACACTGGGCCTAGAAGTAAACAGAAGCACCACAGTGGGTTGGAGTGCCTTTGGGAAAATGGTACTTTCATTTTAGTAATTCTAATCTTCTGCCTTATACAAAGGCCTGCCTTTTTTTTTTTTCAACTTCCAAATGCAAATGATACTATAAGGCTTCAAATTATGGAATATGCCATCTCTAAAGAATTAAAGTTGTGGATCACCCAAAGAATAAGAGATTCATGGTAGGTGTAATTAGGCTGCAATATATTCCCAATGAAGACCTATGCAGGACTATCAGCATGAAGGATACCATCTGAAGACATATGACCAGAAAAGGATGGAGGCCAATCATATCATGAGAATTGTGAGTGTGCATAGAGTGTATCCAGATGACCCAGGCGACACCCTGGCAAGCATTGCCATAAGTCCTTCTTCCCCTTAGGAGGGATATTGTATTAGTGCCATATGCAATCTAACTGGAAGAATGGTGGTACCCATGACAGAAATAGGGAAGTTAGGGAAAAGGAGGTGTTTGGGGAGGAAATATGAGTTCAGTTTTGGACACATTGAGTTTGAAATGCCTGGATGACATCTCGTTCAAAATGTTCAATAGGCAGTTGGTGATATAGGACTAGGGCTCAAGAGAGAAATTAGGGTTGGGTATATAGATCCAGAAGTCATTTGCAAAGAGATGATAATTGAACCCTGAGAGCTGATGAGGTCATGAGGACAGATAGTATGTAGAAAGAATAGAATATGACTCAGTACAGATCCTTAGGATACACTCACAGTTAAGGGGTGAGAATGGGATGATGATCCAGATCCAGCATACACATCCTGGACAAGCATCATCCATTATCACTAGGGATCATGTGGCTTCAGTAGGTCCTGAGGGAGGGTGAGACTAACCTTAGAGAGGGAGTTGCTTGACTCCCCAACCTGCATTCTTTCCACTCAGAGGAAGATCCAGTGGTAATGCTCACCCCAGTGTATGGTGGCATACCTAGGCACACTAGGCTCAGGGTCTATGCCCACCTATGGTGAGAGTTAGGGATAACTGATAGACATTCCACCGATGTCCATTCAATGTAAAGAGACTGAGAGGAAGCTGAGTGGATGTCTTATGAGGAATTTATAGGAAGATACAATAAGAATGACACAGGACAAGAAGGCAAGGATAGGTTGTACAATTGGAGGGATTAGCCATGATGATGACACCAAAGTGTGGTTTTGGTGATAACTATATTTTATTGTATGAGCAGCCCCCAATGTATACATGAGTTATGACCTAATATTCACTTTAAAGTCAATCACCTGGAATGCAGAATGCACTATAGGTCATAGAAACAATGTTTTAAGTGGTAGGCAACAAGAATTTTGGTTAGATCATGAAGGCTTCACAATAATAATTCAATGCTTTAGGGTTTCACTTAGAATGCTAGAAATGGTTTATGCCAAAAAAGGGCCTCAATAATTGTGTAAGTATTCAGGCTAACCAAACTGAATGTAGGATAGGGTTTACTTAATACAGCAA